GAAGATTTTAGACTTCCGGTGAATCCACTAAAGGAACGGTGGTTCCTTTAGCTTCATTAGACTTTGCTATTTCGGCTTCTATGATGATTCCAAGTGAATCTCCATTGTCATATTTGACAACTAGTGCATCCGGGAAAAGTTTCAAAGTGTTCTCAAGCTTACGCTTGATGGTTTCCCTGTTGATCTCGTCTTCTCTTGGGATGAGGATCCTTATCACCATGTTCTCAAAGAAAAAATTCTCCTTTGCCTTGTTCCCATTCTTAGCATCATCCATAGGTGTCAAAKTTGGCTTGAYATCCTTGTAAACGTCTTTATGCTTCACCTTGGATAGTTTTGCAACTATCTTTTCTTTAGTCGTAGGATCTCCTTCTTTGACTCCTTTCTTAGCATCTACGGGGTCTATACTAGGCTTCATAGTCTTTACTCCAATCGAGCTTGGTACACGCTTAGCATCTACTTCATCATAGAAGAGATTCTTATTGATGTTGGCGAAAGAAATTCTTCATCTCCAATACTTGAAAATCAGTAGGAACAATTCCTTCTCCTACTTTGACCATGAMGTTTTCAAGCATTCCATAAGGGKTARAGGATGATAAATCGGCATACTCTATATAGACTTTGGATGGTTTGAAATCGGCCAATCCTAGTCCCTTTGCCATGGTTAATGACATGACATTGAAGTTTGCTCCAGTATCACACAAGCAATCGTGGATCTCCTTTCCATTAATAGAGTATGGAAAAACAAACTTCCCCGGATCATTGACTTTTTCCAAAGGTATCCTCTTTAGTCTTCTCTTGTAAGCTGTCTTAGATTCGCCGGGAAGGCGTTCCTCTTTAGGTACTTGGACTAACATAACCTCTTCTTCAAGTGGTTTAGGAGTGACCACGGCCTCCTCTTCTKTAGTAGAAGCAACATTGCAAAACTTCTTTGCTTTCTCYTCGTCTTGTCTTCTAACGGCTTCCGAGGTTTGAGCGAGTTGTGTATCCATCTTAGAGAGATGAGTAA